GGGGGGTCACTTAAACAGCCCCTAGCCCATCACCAACAGCTCTAGCTGCACTCCACCAGCTCCATGGAGATTCAGTACTCTGATATTTTTGGAAGTAATCACCTCCACATAGTTCAGCATTGTTCATTCTAAAAGACATTCTTGCCTTTTACTTTGTTTATAGAATTTTTTTTTAATAGTAATGAACTATTTTTCCTTGTTTTCCAAGTAGTTGAACTTGAAAGAACATCACTTTCTGTTAAATCTTTGTTAAATTGTATGCCCATGTTCTGCTCTGCCTGGAGTACCATTAATCCCACTCATTTTTATGGGGTTCAGTGGACGTAGATATGTGCCAAGTATAGAGACAGAGAAAGCGCAAAGGTGTAGCCAAGGATTTGTCCTGCGTAATGCAATAGGAGAAAAGCTGTACTCTGCAATCTGAAAGGCACAACATATCTCTTTGGCAGCAGCAGAACTTGAACATCAGCACCTTTGATCTAATGCCACAGAGGCCCAATAAACCTCAAACATGGTAACCATTTCCGAGGCTTCTACAGAAAACCGCTCTGTAGCGAACACCTGGCTCAAATAACTTTCTCAAATTTTGATGAGTAGAAATACTCTAAAGCCTTCATTCCAAGTCTTGCAATCCAGCCTAGAACCGTTTCTCTTTTTTCCCCCTTTATATTTATAGCCAATTTTCTAGACAACATGCCCTTGCGAAGTTCTGGCAAGTTGAGCATGGAGACCAGAAAAGAAGATGGTGAGAGTACGGCACCTGCCCCTTCGCAGAAGAAGCTGTCCTGTCAGTGCCACCACCACTGTCCTGAGGACTCGGTCAACAGCACCTGCAGGTTTGTGAGATACATATTTGGTGGTGAAACATGGGAAGATCTATTTGCAGTAGCTCAGCAGTCCCAGGTTGGGTGTTGCAGTTTTTGTTTAAGCAGTAATATGTAAATGAGTTGTTTATACATTGTGTCTAAAAATCAGAGGTAATTTTTACCTAGATACTAGCTACATACTTGTATTTTTATGTTAGGGTGTTTACATCTTTACAGTTTTAGATAATACTTGTATTAATTCATTGCATATGAAATATTCTGAAGGTAGGAGTTTGTTTTTAAAGGTGCATGCAGTTAATGAGAGGAGACTTAATGGAGATATATTGAAATGTCAGTAAATGCTTATAAATTTATAATCACTCTCTGTGGAACACCATTTACAAGAACCCTGCTCTGGGTGTGTGTCTTTGCAATAGCTAAGCTATCTTTTGTAGGTCTTCAAGGCTGGGGGGTTTTTTCTTGCTTCCATGCTAAAAGGAAAGTGATCTTTTTCTTGAGGTGAAGTGTTGCGTATTTTCTTATATTAGCTGTAGCCTTCTGTTTGGTTTTGTGTTTAGAGTACTACAAACTTCTCATTTGGGTTGGATTCTGCTTCCTCAGATCCACCTGTGTCCCTGGGGGAGCAGCATGTCCGCTGTGCGCAGTCCCCTTGAAGGCTCAGCCTTGGTCTGTGTTGCACTGCCACTGCCTGAAGCAGCAGAGGTGACTGAGGGTACCTGTGGTGGGTCCAAGCTGCTGGACACACACTGTTGCCGTTGAATGAGGGTGGTGGTCAAACACCTCTGTCTGGGCTTGAGGTGCCTGTACAGTTTGCTTTAGCTGCAGCAAAGTAGGGCTGAGCTCTTCATGTTCCACATGAGGAATTTAAGCTTTTCTGCTTACTTAGAGCAGGTAAGATGCTGGAGATATTCACCATCAGCTATAGCCTAGTGGAGTTGTGGGAATGTGAGAAGCACGGAAGCAGGGCACAGATGTGAGCCCAGGTGGACGTGCCGGTTGGGTGTGCAGTGCTGTTTGAGGGGAGACAGTCTAACATTGTGTCAGCTCTTCAAGGCAGCACATTAAAAAGATAGGTGGGGAAAGCCTAAGGTTGCTGAAGATACTGATTGCTTTGTTGGATTTTTGAGTGTTGTTTTATAGCCTGACTTAATTCTGCTTGGCCTGCAGTTTCACACTGAAGTGTATCAAAGTTTTGATGACAGCTGTAAATACCATTTCCCCTTTCTATCATCTTCCTTCAAACCAATGCCTAGCCAGGAGTTAGACCTAACTGCTCTCACATGGCAGTCAGTTTAAAAAGCTGTAAAACCCCACTCTGATATCAATTTGCAGATCCCCTGCAGCGTGAATCAGCTGTTTCCTGTTCCTGCCCAGCAAGAGCCACTGCTTTCACACGTGCTGTCTCACACACACGGTAACAGGGAAGTTGCAGATGACTTCTAAATCCATGCATTAGGAAGCATAAAAGGATCCATGTTAAGGAACCCGCTGAACAAGGTTTATACTCCAGCTGGATAGGCCTGCTGTTGCACATTGCTTCATAGGCATCATTGACATTAAATATTTTTCATATTACCAGGAACTATGAGTAAATGTCCTATTAAAATGGATTTGTGCATTTTCTCTCACTGTGATACTTGCAAGAAACTCTTTTCAGAGTCCCCCTCACAGTGTCAAACGCCAAACTTGGTTTTAGGTGTTAATGCCCAAGGATAGGCAGTTAAGTGGTAGTAAAACACAAAATTATAACCCCTTTTGTCTTCATAATCTGTGCACATTTCAGGCTTGAATGTTCTACTTAAGTGACAAAATTATTTTTTCCAATTTAGACATCAAAATAATACTTGAAACTGGAATTTACCCATCAAATATTAATCACTTTTCTGTCCAGGAAAATGGAAACAGTCAAAATACTTGCATTAGAGCTGCTCTTCTTTCCTACCCTGTGCTATCACCTGAGCAGTATCCACCTTGCCACTTGCCCAGTGAGCAACAGCATAAGTGAAAAATTGCTGAAAAGTTTGGAGTAATATAAAACAAAAAAATTAATTTAAATTAAATACCCTGCCTTCATGGCTTGTCAGCAATAATCCTTTTCAGGGTGGTGATCATTGCTATGGCTCTCCCTACTTTGGTGTGAGAGCTGCAGTGAGGTATGAAGGACACAAAACCCCTTGTTTTTTTTCCCTACATCTGCTTAACTGTTAGTCTGTAATCATTTGCTTCTTAAATTCCCTACTACATAGGTGGAATTACAGATGAAAAGTGAAATGGGATGTTACAGAGAGAAGAGGGTCCTAAGCCTGCTGTT